GTTCTGTCTTTGAATTCAAACAGTTCAGTGCTTTAAGAACAGTGCACAAAATCGATATGAATTTTCCAAAGCGATATATCGAAATCAATGGCATTATATGTTCTCTGCCGTTGCTCTGAAAACCGTGCTTTGATTTAAGATTTCTCTGCTGACGTCGTGAAAATTACCGCGTTATATTTATGGTCTTGTTCGACGGTTTAATTGCTTGCTCGGTTCTGTGGTAAAAACTCGTACAGCAGGCCGAAATGTCACCGGCCTTATTTATCTGTCCCTGCGGATTTCATCGTTCGGCTGCCGTTTAAGGGCCGTTTGCATCTTAAAAACTATTTTTTGCAGGTAACATACCCGGCTACAGTAATGCGTTCAACTAAGAGCCATTTTATTTTCTTTTTCTAATGTTGTTCATTGCAAGACTTGACAAACTGGTCACTTTGCCAATTCTGACATAATGGTCGAAGAGACGAGGGTTCGGAAGAGACGCAGGAAAATGAGCAGAAAAGAATAGAAGCCATAGGCTTGAAATGTCGAAATCAAGGATCAACCTACAGAAATCCGTTTCCTTGTCAGAACCGTTTCGAAACGATGTAAGAAAGCGAATTGCCACTTCGTTGATACTTATACAAAGTGACGAAGGCCAATAATGCTTACCGAGATTTCTGAGATGTTTCGCATAGCGGTAACATGGTTAGCGAGTTTCATCACTTGACTTAACAATGCTGGAAACTACAACCGAGTGTTGGTCCAATCAGATTAGTTTTTTTTCGTATTGTAATGTATCAGGTAAATTTAAAGTTTTTAATTCCAGTAATTTGTAAAGTGATTTCTTTTGATTATTTATTAAAATTGGTCATTAAGCGCTCTTGGGTTTTCGCTATTTGTCAACAAGTCGATGTTCTTCGTTCAGAGCATAAAAGGCATGATCAAAAGGCTTCGTAATGTTTTCTTCGAACGTTAATTCAGGAGCAGATTATGAATCTGCCCCCCTCCCCCCTTAATTCAACAGTATGTAATATTTTTTCTAAAAGCATAATCAACTGTATCAATGCGGATTAGCAGGGTTTCGTTAGCCGCCTGTTCCAGAGACACTCTAAAGATCGACAGTATGAATGCCAAACTTCCCCTGCCATGTGATTTTAAGCTTTCGTCGTTGGCTCTCAGCACGGAAAGTGCGAGAGGCTGACTGATGGATACAAATGCTAGAGTACCCTCACAAATCGTCTCCTCGCCGATATTTTTTCAGAAACGCTGATCGACATTGGGATCCTGAAATACAATGATAAACTTTCATAGTTTCCTCTCCAAGGAGTGCCCGTTTTTTGTTGTACTCTACTTATGTACTGTCCGGTACAAGTTGGATAGTTTGCAATGATTTCCTTTTGTGTACACCCTTTATCCGTAGATTTGTTCATTAAGCTTTCCTGATTTTGCCCATCAAATGGGGTTTTCTTAAAAAAAAAACATGAACTTAAAAATGCTCACTACAACTTTCCAATTCCGCCGGTAAATATTAAATTTCCGGCTACCGGATTTACACAGAGAAAACGCATCGTTGTCTTCTTTCTAATCACATCGGGGGATCGTTTATGTAGGCTACGGCTCCATGGGATCTAATCATCTGTTGTGCATCAAATGCAAGGCCGCATATCAGAGTTGGGTTTGAGGAGGAGCATTTCGAAATATCAACAAAATGCGCAAAAAAATATATAAACGAAATGTTCTTTCTATTGTTGTTGTTTTCTGCCATCCTCATTTTTGACATTCTTGCAAATCTTCAGGCTGCTTATGATTTGTGATGTTTGCTCATCTCCACTTTTCGCATTTTGATATTAGGAGCCCTTATATCGTCGACAAAGCAACGATTCCTCATCCACAATAGATCTCTATCAAGTTTCCTCTGCATTTGTTACGCTTACGTTGACCTTCTGCCGTCCAGTTTTGGGTTCGTACGTTAGCAGTTGACGAACCAGTGCGTCATTTCAAATAATCGAACCACGCGAGCCCTCTATCTCTCAGAAGCTATATTACCTCGGTGAGGTCGGCTATTGCCAAGTCTCTGCCGTTTCTTGTGTGGTCGGACCACTTTACTTTCAGCAGCCTCCAGAGAGAGTGCTACTGTAGGTTGTCCAATCGATGTTCATGCGATCTTGTGAGTTCACCTGTTTCCATTCCGTAGAACAGAAGTGATCTGAGAGAAGGGCAATGCAGTCTGATCGCAATGCAGTGGCGATTACTACTCTTCTTTGAGTCCAACTATTCGCAAGGCACTTGAAAGTAAACTATGCTTTCTTCTGTTTAACCTCTGTTCACGGTTCCCATCCATCGAGATGATGGCTCCCTCATGCGAGACTTCATCGATGGTACTGCTTCCAGAGGATACCATTCTAAGTTCATAATCACTTTTACCTTCGCAGCAGACTGGCATAGTTCTACAGTGTGCGGCACCA